GCCTTTGCCGTGTTCGCTTTGATAAGCACGACGCAATGTCTGCAAGCTTATCAGAAGTTTTGCCGCCGCGACCGCCCCAACAGCTCCGGCTTCCAGTTGGTCGAGCTATGCAGCAGACGCGTGTCGAGGGCCGTGGAAAGGGTTTATGAAACTTCTGATGTTTAGCTTGACTTGACAAGGCTATCCTTAATTTTGCACAAATCACAAAACTTACACAAACTTAACCAGTCGCCAGCTAACTGAAAGTTAGTTGTACAAAGTTATGTTTCACACTTCTATGCGAACAACTTAATTGGGGTAACATCACTTTAACATTATTAAATTATATTCAAATAATTAGAATTATAAAAATGAATAGCAATAATATTTTATTTAATGTCGAAATCATATTAAGGTAATTTTAATACTTCGTTAGATAACTATCTGACATAACTATAGCACAAAATACCACCCATTTTTCCCTTTTTTTATGTCCCTTTTAAAACCTGCCATGCACTTTCTGTCTCTCTTTCTCTCTCATTGCTAAAATTCATGAAAATCGCATAGAAGGGAGCTAAAACACACACACACACACACAGATTCAATCAATAAATAATTTAATTAATTTTTGAGGCAACCCAAGACAAATTTCAGTTCTGTTATGACATGTTCTGAAAAGGCAATTAATTAAATTTTTGCGCATATTACAAATATGTGGTCAAGCGTAAAGCATTTAAATTAAAATGATTAAATATTGATATTAATTAAAGTCGTTGTAAAATGCTGTGTTGTTATTTTATTGTTAGTCAGCATGCTGTGCAAATATTTCATGGTCGACTCGAAATGTGCTCATTAAATACGTATGCCAATTATATTATTTATACGTAAGCCACAATAATGTAAATAGACAAACACACAAATAAACACACACGCACAACAGCCCAGTTCCCTGGGGGATTGTGCGAGAAATTTGGACATTATGTATTCTCAGCTCTGGCATTTTGTGCGTTTCATTTCATTCAACAGTTCAACATTGAAATTTTTATGTGAAAATATTTGAAAATTTGTGCGTTTAGCAAAATTTGTTTATTTACAGAGAAGAAGGAATTTTATTGCCCGAATGATTAGGCACATTAAAAAATATTTGTACATAGAAATAGTTGAAATATATGCAAATATATATGTATATATAGCAGGTATAGGGATGATCTGTTCACGAGATACAGCTACACCTCGAAAACTTTGTTATTTTTACGTATTCTTCTAACTGTTTAATGAAGTTCAATTAAAAGATAGTTTTTGGTGCCTTGGTATTTATACAGAGGGTTTTATAATTGCAGAGGGTTTTATAATTTTATAATGAAGTGTGTAACAACAGACGAGTTGATGTCCATCTGATCGATTGTTTGTTGCAATGCGTACAATTTTCTCAGTTGTATAGCTTACGTCTTGAAATTTTGATTTGGTCGGAACCGGCACGATCGGAACACTATATCTATCATATAGCTGTCATAGAAACGATCAAACTCCTCGTATATACGCAAAGTCTTATTAACATAGGATAACATAGAATTTGGGTTCAGAAGTGGCCACGGACACGGACACGAAACTATTGAGCATTCAGCAATACCATCGATGCCTTCCATTGTAAACTTTATTAACTCTATCCTTTTGCAGGCCTATAAGTACGATCCGTACGAGAAGAACTGCACCGTGGAGCCTTATGATCACGCATTAGTAGGCACTCTGAGATCTTTCCACAGAAGCTGGCACTGTTTTCTGATTGCATTGATGCCTGCAAATTGCCTTTCCTATCCATTAATTGGGGCTCTGCCTTTGAGCAGCCACTGCTGGTTTTATATAAAATATTTTAGCTGGATAAAGCCTGGTATTAAAGCCTGCATATTAATCAGCAGCTAACTAAAGGATACTTTGCGGGGTATAATTTAGTCGAGCATACTGCGCGATTGGTTAGAAAGCAAAAATGCAGTCAGTGAACTAAAAAGTAAACAAGCGGCCAGTTAAGTACTTTGCTATCTGTGTTGCGAATTAATGCGAATATTAATGAAATTTAATTTCAATAAGTTTAAAAAAGCGATCGGACGATACACAACAAACATTCATACAAACGTTTTTTGCGAATTTCCCACACTTGCGTTTGGAATTTTCGAAATGCCGTCCTAGAGTAAAACTGTATCACATAAGGTAGCCACAGTATAAATTTCAGCTTCCTAGCTCAAATCAGAATACCCTGTTATAACTTAATCAGATCGGCTTCAGGGCAGCTAAAATTGATTCCTTGAGATCCCTACTGACAAACTGCCACAAATGTTTGTTGTTCGCTTTTATCGTAGCTTTTATCACATTTTTAAGCTCGTAAATGGAACATAAATAATGCAAATGCTATTATATTATTTAACAAGCCGCATTTAATATGTCTAATAAAATGGGGCATATTAAAAATGTATTGCCGCTCTATTGAAGCGAATGCGCTTGCCCTGTCTAATTTAGTTTAAAGACTTTTAGGTAAACAATTATTATCCAAGCTGCAAAAGTACGCTTCTCTTAAATCGTTTAATGCTGCAGCAGCAGTTGCAGTTGCAGTTGCAGTTACCGTTAGTGGCTACGGCGGGAATCGTGCCCTATAATTGGACTCCGGCGGGGCGTTGAAATGCCGAGGCGACGATGCGTGTTGTTGAGTTGGCAGCCAGTTGGCTAGGAGCCCGCAGCAACTGGCTGCTTAATTTGTTGCACTTCAACGGGTCACGACGTTGGCCCGGGGGCGGGGGCGTGAGCAGCGGTGGGGTGGGGTCAACGGAGGCGGCAGGGTGTGCAGTCAATGTGTTTTTTTTTTGCCCTCGAGTTGATTGCGACAAGTTAGGAGCACAAGTGCCGCAGGGCATGGCAACCACTTTGTAATTTGTAATAACCACATTCCCATGGGATAGATTTGCGAATTGACTATAGTTAGTCCACTAGCAAATACCCTGTACAACTTAATCTAATAGTTAATATATATGTATTAACCACATTTCGAGGAGAAACCTTTATGAATTGAATACAGTAAGGCGACAAACAAATACCCGTTAAAAGTATTATCTAGTTAGTCGACCGGCAAATACCCTTTAACAAGTTAATCTAAGTGTGATATATATATTAACCACATTTAGTTGAGAAACTTTTATGAATTGAGTTAGTTTGTCGACCAACAAATATCCGTTAAAAGCATTATCTAAGTTGGATGGCTTTACAAATTGAATGTAGTTAGACCACTAGTAAATACCCTGTCAAAACTTAATCTAAGTGTGATATTTATGTATTAACCACACTTCGATGAGAAACCTTTATTAAATAAATACAGTTGATCGACGAACAAATACCCTTATCTAGTTAGTCGATTAGAGAATACCCTCTAATAACTTATTCTAAACTATAGCGTATGTAATTTGTAATAACCGGATTCCCATGAGAAGTTATCTCAATTCAATTTCTCGACTATCAAATATCGTGTAAAACGGAATATAAGCTCTAATGACCAGATTCCCATGAGTTAATTTAACAAATTGAATTCAATTTTACAATTATTAAATACCCTAAAATGTAAAAACCACATTCACTTGGGATAACTTTACGAATTGATAGTCGACTTGCAATGTGTATGTTATTTATAATAAACACACGCCCATTGGATGCCCGTACGAATCGAACGCAGTTAGGCGGATAGCAAATACCCTGTAAAAACGTAGCCTATGATGTAGCGAATGTTATTTATTATAAACCATTCCCATTGAATAACCCTAGCAGTTAATTGCGATTTGTCGACCAACGAATACCCTGTAAGGCTGTTTACCTTAATTGCTTATGAGTTCTTATTAGGACTTTTATAACTGACTCGAACATAAAATGCCCAATTAAAAGCATTCATATAAAACAAGTCTAAATACCCCAACAGCATCTGTCGGTACAGGGTAATGGAAGCCACAATACCCCATAAAATTACTGCAATATAAATGAAAAGCTGTGCCAATTTCTAAAAGCACTCGAACTGCCAACAAAAAAGTAAATGTCATTCGGAATCGCTGAATCAACCTCAGAAGAGGTTCAATAAAACGAAGGCAGCCAGAAAAACGACTTCGAACCAAAGGAAACGCGTGGGTTGCAGACTGCATGAATTGACAGGGTAGATATCAGCCCAAAAATATGCTTGACTGTCAAATAATCTGAGGTTAGTTGCGCAATAGAACTCAGTTTTAGCAGAGAATCACTCCCAAAAGTGATTGATTTTATATATTGTTCCTACAAGCAACGCCAATTTTGTGGTATTATTAGAGAACACAAAATGGGCCAAAACGCTGCCCAGCTGCCACATCCTATTCAAGGCTGACAAGGGTGAAAGCGTTTGTCTGTGTGCGACGCAAAAGGATGTACTTGAACAGACATTAAAATGATTTTCCAGGAAAGGTTTCACAAAAAATAACTTCAATTAGCGGAGTGACATGGCCTTGTACATGGCCAAATGATTCGAAATAGTCCTAATTTGTATCGTGTTTATTATCTTATATGGAATGTGTACAATTTGCGGCCCTAATCGGCTTTGCTATGCCACCTGAGCTAATTGGCTGTAGTTCGACACAATTCCGCTGAATCAGCAAATTTATATTGCATAACAACAAGATTGCCCGAAGGATCAACATTTGCGGGAATTTCACCTTACAAATTTGAAAAGATAGTGCAAATTGTAAGATGTAAATTAGTTTCACTTGCCTATTGCAAGGTAAATCAAATTAAGGCCATTTAATATTATACGTAACGTGTTTGAATTAGTTGTGAATTACAAGCGTAAGACAATTAAAAGTCAGTCTTAAACCAGAACCAGTTGTGAATTATAAGCAATCAGCTTGAAAAGCTTTCAGAGAATTCACTTCTGACTGGCCTTAATAGGCATATTCAGTACACATCCTTAGAAATAGTTCATTGGCATAATATTATTATATATATTTATATGCAGGCTGACGACTTACCGATATTAACTATGCCATGATTGGTTAGCTCCCAGCATGACTGTAAGCGTAATATGCTCAAACTGTGACTTTGCTTTGGTGAGAAGTAGCCCAGGGCAGCATCTGTGACATGGTAAGCCTGTAATTCAATTAAATATGAGCACTTGTTTCGCCGCACATTTTCCACACTTGCCTGAAGCGAGAACTCGTATAGGGATGGCAGCAGCTGGGCAACCGCGCCCACCGCCTCGTCCGCAATGTTGATGCAGTCCGCCAGTGACAAGGACACAATTCGCGGCGTCAGGCAGGCCCAGAGGCCCGCTTCGGTGACCTCATTGCAGCCGGCCAGCTCAAGTTCAAACAGACTCTGCAATTGTCATTTTATTTACAAACTCATTCTACATTTTCCTTTATCATATTGTGTTTATTCTTTGTGTAACATTTTAATTAAAAACAAGTTTGTTATGAAAAGGGGACGGAGGTAGCAATCTTGTAAAGGAAATGTTTCCTAGTATTCAGTTATGCTTTAGTAAAAACACTCGTAAAGAAGTGCAAATTAAAATTTCCGCGAAAGGCTCCATTGAACCCATCTGATGACATATAAAGTCTAATGAGAGAATTTATAGGAATTTTAAATTAAAAACTTTTTCGCTTAATAAATTAAATTTCAGGAATTAAGAGCATATTTTTGTAAAACTAAGACAAAAGCCTGCTAAAAACAAAACTCATTCCAAGAACTGCTAATTCATATGCTTACAGGTCTTTCTTCAATTTGAATTTCTCACAAATTTAAAATTATAATCAAGTCAAAAACCTACAACAAAATAAAGTACAGTTTTCCATGCGACTCGCAGCTCGGAGCTGTGTGTCAGAGCAAATGGCCAATTGTTCTAGATTGATGCAAAATATAAAATATATAAATATTTATATAAAATAAGTCGATGTATTTGGTTTGTGAATTTCTTGAAATTCATTCAACCTTTGACCTTTACAAGAGCAGAAAATGTCAAGCAAAACATTTCACAATAGGTCGAGTAATAGTCGTTCGACCCACATTGCGTGCCAGACAATATGTCGCGGGGCTTTCATCTGACTAGTCACAATTTTGTATTTTATTATTGTTGTGGCCCAAAGTTGGGTACGTTTCTTGGCGACACTCGAGAACTTTTGCTCATAAACGCAGAGGCAAAAACAAAAACCCAGCAACAAAACATGTCAAATCAAAGCAGAATACCAATAAAGTCGCTTAGCAAGCGGAAACATGACGCAAAAGCATCAGGAAAATGGGAAATGGAATATGGAAAAGCATGAAATACACGCTTAACGGCATAAAAAATGCGGGAGAATCACAAACTTTTATCGCTAACTACATCAACAATTAGAGGACACAAAGTAAGTTGTTTTTATGCAAACAAAACGTATATCCAGAAATTTGCAAATATCAAATGTCACATGCAAATATAAAAAATTAATGTGGCTTAAGCTTTATCAGAATACTTTTTTTAGACAGTTTTCTTTAGAAAGGAAATCATTTGTGGAGATAAAATTTCAGCAATAATGGCTATTGCCATTGCTATAATAGGCTATTTGTATGAGCATAGTTGAGGTTATTATTTGTTGGTCAGCCAGTCTATTTACATTAATAATTATTATAACAATAACGATAATGATAATGAGAATGACAATGCTGATCATAATGATAATGATAATGATACAAATAATGATAATAATAATAATAATAATAATAATAATAATAATAATAATAATAATAATAATAATAATATAATAATAATAATAATAATAATAATAATAATAATAATAATAATAATAATAATAATAATTATAATAATAATAATAATAATAATAATAATAATGATAATAATAATGATAATAATAATAATAATAATAATGATAATAATAATAATAATAATAATAATAATAATAATAATAATAATAATAATAATAATAATGATAAGTATAATGACAATGATAATGATAATGATAATAAATATATTGATAATAACAATATTAATAATTATAGCAATATTAATAATATGTTTTATGTACACATTCATGGAGCTACTTTAAATAATTTAGAGGTCAATTGGAAAAGATTTTATTAAGAGTGTTTGTAGCTTTAACAATAATAAATCTTTGTGGTATATTTTCAACAGTAATTTATATAGAAAGTGTTTGCTGAAAACATTCCTATTTAAATGCATATCTACCAAACTTATAGCATAATATATATATATAGTATATATAACATACAAATGTCCTGTAATTAGATTGGAGCTAATTGGAGCCCTCTGTTCGCTGCAAGCTTTGGAAATGACTTCATTGTTAATGGGAAATGGTCTGAGTCTTTAGAACATTTGGGTTTTATTTTGTTTTTATGGCCAGTGAATAGCGTATTCCCAGCTGGTTGGCAACACACGTAGCCAGGGTAACTTTTTACATGTCAGCCACAAAATCAATATCGCCACCGGCAAGAACAACAACGCGCCACAATGGCAGCAAGTGGTTAAGGTTATGAATAAACTAATGTAAGTTACATCCCATTTATATTACCCAATTGCTACAGTGCTTAGATTTCGGAATGTCACATGTTTTTTGCGTGTCTCATTAAAACACTTACAATGGACAAGTGACAATAATATAAAGCTAGGCTAGTAAAAGGTATTTTCAGTGCTTACACAACAAAGGGAGTATGCGTCTAGCATGGAAACAACTTCTCACGCACTCGAGGCCTTAACTAGTTGAGAATTGCAAGGCGCCAGGTATATAAAAAAATACGAAGCTTAACTAACTAGATTGCCCCTCGAATTTTATCAATATTATGCAAATACTTCTGTGCCACTTCAGACTGAATATCTGGCAAAAGCGTGACATCCTTTATGGGTCAGCAGGGTTCAACAACGGGCTCGAAAGCGCAACTTTACTGTTAGCAATGCAGAAATTACGTATACGCCGAGTGTACGCTGAAGGCAATTGCGTTCTAAGGGCCCATTAAATGTGTATGCATTGGGAAATGCTGTCGCATTTCCGTCGCATTTTCACGCTCACACAGACGCACACATATGTCAAATTAAAGGGACTTGTTAATGGAAAAGGAAAGCTTGTTGATGACTTAAGGAGACACAGATGCATTAAGCGCATTGCGCTCCCTTGCCAAGGTCAAATTCGCTATAAATTTCTGGTGCTTGCGACTGTCAACTGTTACAGCACTGTGCGTGCCATTCTTGTTGACATTTCCAGCGGCAACAATTTGCAATCAGTCGGTATTAGGAACCAAGCCAGCCACACACACACACACACGCACTGAGATCCAACTAGGCCCATGAACATGACATGCATTCACATTGAATTAACTCCGACATTGCAGATTGACACGCAGTCAACCGACTGACACAGCCACAAATATGAGCAGAGCACAGGACAGGGGCGAGGCTAGTAGGCAAAAGGGAAACATAGTTGAATGGGAATACAACTTGGCCACAACTAGTTCACCAACATTATCCACTTTACTCATGTGCGTCTACCACACCCACTCCCACTCCCAATCCATCTGTCTGTGTCATTTGCTCTCTCTCTCTCTGCTTATTGTAAGCTACTTCTTGTGAGCTTTGGATTGACCCATGAAACGAAATAGATGTGTTCCATGGAACTGGGAAAAAGTTTTTGGTATTGTCAGCAGCTGAGCGCAGCAATTAGGCCAACTAATTGGTTTTGGCCAATGAAGTCACTTAGACTTTGGTAGCATCTTCTAATTACAGTTACGATTACTTCTAACAATCGAAATGTACAAATATTAACCATAAAGGAAATAGCAGCAAATGGTTATAATGGTTTTAAATGTGGTGGCAAGTATTCCATATAGATCAACATTTTCACTTCTAAATAACTAGAAAACAAGAGGTTCTAGTCGGGAGCTCCCGACTAGGGTATGCCCTGAACCCTCTTCTTCCAACATCAAATGCATATATATATATTCTATTTTAGAAGTTATATGTCAAGTTTGGTGACTCTAGATCTTATTATTAACCAAAATTGCCCAAAAAACCGGATATCGATATTGATTTTTATCGATTGCTTGGAAACGGAGTAAGTTATCGATTATCGAAAACAAACTCGATCTGCGCAGGCACTAGGAGGACCTACATCTATCTAAATTTCAAGACGCTAGCTCTTATAGGTTCTGAGATCCTTGCGTTCATACGGACGGACGGACAGACATACGGACATGGATCGACTCGGCTATTGATGCTGATCAAGAATATATATACTTTATGGGATAGGAGACGCTTCCTTCTGCCTGTTACATACATTTGGATTTTGAACAAATACAATATACCCTAATACCCATTTTTAATGGGTTTAGGGTACAACAAGAATTCGGATACGTTATTGTGAAGCTCGTAATTGCTGAGCTTAGTTAAGACAACTCGAAGAACAGCAATTATTTACCACATTTTCTGATATTACTGATCCAGCATATATATACTTATATATAAATATGTAATAACCGAACTCTTTCTAAATAAGCACATATTTATACACATATATTTCGAAAATTTAATTTAATTGCGCACGCATCTCATAAAATATTCATCTTGCACATCACACTCATTTTAGTTATATATATATATATATACAATAACTATATATATTTTTCAGGTATATATGTATGCTTATTCGTTTCGCAAAAATTAGCTCTAAAAATTATTTCGCCAAATTAAATAAAATTTGTGGCGCTGCTTTGAAGTGATTTGCGCTTGAAATTGATCGCATCAATTCGTTATGAGATTAAAGGGCAGAACCATAGAAATTATCACACGATTTTCAACTGCTCGCCCCCTCCCCCACCAACACCCTCCTCTGCATTCCATCCTCATTATGACACACTTTTTCGCCCAACACGTTTCATTAAAATAAGATCGAGAATTGTTTTCACTTGCCGGGCAGGAATTTCGTTGGGTTTATTTTTGTTTACGCCGTGTGCCGTGTGACTGACCACCGTCAACTTGACGGGTCCCCCCCCCCTCTCTCTCTCTCTCCCCCTCTCTCTCTCGCTCTCTCACTCTCTCTTTCTGTTTGAGAGCTCTAGCGAGCCGCCCACGGTCATGGGAATCCACTGATTCACAATTTGACTGACACAAATGACAGCGCGCGATGATAAATACGCAAGATTCTATTCAACCTATATAGCGCTTATATAGCTCTATAAGTGCAGATATTTTTAAAGACAAATATCTAAATACACATATATGATATTCAAGCATTCATGAAGAAAGGCGTTAAAAGCTAAAAAAATAACCCACAAGCAATTTGGCATGTTCTCAGTCTGACTAATTAATAATAAGTATTATACAAGTTCAGGATAGAGCCCCGCAAATATGATATGAAGTACAAAGTAATAGGCAAGATTATAATAAAACGAGAAAGAAGGGCTATCTTCGACACGCCGAAGATCTAATACCCTTGCAGACTCAAACTCATTTCGGTTTGCACGAATCTAAGTAGCACAGTGGATATAGTTAATGCCGAGTTTGGTCAAGATATCTTGAAAAACAAATATTTCTCATATAACTTAATTTTCGACCGATCGTTCCTATGGCAGCTATATGATATAGTGGTCCGATAATGTTAGGACTTTGCATATATATGAGGAGCATAGCAAAACTAATACATGCCGATATCTTGATAAACAAAAAAGTTTTTCATACAGCAACTTAATTTCCGACCGATCTTTCCTATGTCAGCTATATGATATTATGGTCCGATCCAGCTGGTTTTGACATATATGCTGCTGTGCAGCAGGAAGAGGGAGTTCTGCAAAGTTTCATGACGAAAGCTTTAAAACTGAATGACTAGTTTCCATAGAAACAGAAACAGACAGACGGACATGGTTCGATTGTTAATACTGATCAAGAATATATATCATTTATGGGTTCTGAAATGTCTCCTGCTATGCGTTACACATTTCCCGATAAGATTATAATACCCTCTGCAAGGGTATCAAAATGGGCATAATAATAAAAGCAAACAATCATCTTTCATAGTTGGTCGATTCTTTGAGTAGTTCGATGTTGAAAAGTGTTGAAAATTTTAAACAGATTCTCTGGGATGCACATACTCCATGGATTCGGAGATGCTTGCACAATGCATTGCAACTTACCTGCAAGTGATCCAACAGCGTTTCCAGGCCACGATCGCTGATCGAGGAGCAGCGCAGGCTAAGCGAATGGACATGTTTGGAGGCGAGCGGAAAGGAGTGCACTACGTCCAGGGCATCCTCATCGGAGGCGCCGACCAGGCCGAGCGCATGGAAGCCGCGTCGAATGAGCGAAGTGTAAAGCTTGCCCCGATCACAGGCGGGCATCTGGCGCAGTTCGCGGCATTGCAGTGTCGGCAACAGGCCGGACCAGTAGCGAGGGCTGCGGTACAGTATGTCCCGCCACTTGATGCACACCTGGGCGAGCACGCGTCTCTCGTACGGCGAGAAGTACTGAAAGAAGCGATTGAGGAAGCGATCGTCGAGCAGCAGGGCATCGATGCTCTGGATGTGCGGCGGGTGCTTGTGCAGGATTAGCGCGGATTGGTTAACGGCTGCGGCCAGCTGATTGGATTGCGCCGAGCCGGGCACCGACTGCGCAGCGACAACAACAACTCCGTACGGATGATGCAGATGCGGATTGGGCAGCTGTTTGCGCATCTGAAGCGGAGTACCACCGCCGCCAGCGGTGGCCTTTTGCGCCGCAACCATGCCCATCGTACTGAAGGTGGGCGAACCGGGCGCCGGAATTGTGATGTTCATTTGCTTGGCAATCGATTTGACCGTCGGCGTTGGCGGTGCACCCAGCGGCGGCATGCCGCCGGGCGGCGCGGACACACCACCACCCGCCATGACCATATGATGATTCGAGTTGATCAACGTGGAGCCGGCCATTGCCTGCAGCTGCTGCTGTTGCTGCTGTTGCTGCTGCTGCTGCTGCATCAGATGCGCGGGATTGTGGGTTGTGGGATTGACGTTGACAGACGCCAACTGCTGCGCCTGCGGTTGCGCTCCGGACAAGGAGATGAGCGTGGCGCTGGGCGTAGAACTCTGGTTACCTCGCGACGGCTTGTCGGGCGTTTGCGGATTGATCACTGTGCCGGCTACGCCGGAGGTTGAGCTGTTGCTATTGGAATTGGGGTTAGAGTTTGAGTTGGAGCTGGAACTGGAGTTGGAGTTGGAGTTGCCGCCGCCGCAGAGCGCATTTGTAACGCGCTCCATTACTGAGGTCTTGCCGCTGGACGAGGTGGCACTGGACGTCGAATTGGAGGAGGCACTGTCGCTGCTGCCATGGTGATGTTTTGAGCGTAATCCCAGGCCGTTGATGCGTTTCGATAGTTCCGCGGACGCTCTCTCGACCACGCCTTGCGCCGAGATCGATGACATCGTATGCTGAAACAAATGCACTTTGTCTCGCTCGCTCGCACGCACGCACGCTCACGCACGCACACACGCACACACGCACACAATGGGCACGTTTCTTCAAGCTCAACACGCACGCTCTCCTGCTCGCTCCTTTATACAAAGCGCAGTTGCAACATGTTTGAGCGTTGACCTTGTTTCGACTTTCTCGACCGCTCTCACGCTCAATCTGCAAGCAAAGAAGAAGAAAAAGACCAGTTATGCAGTTTACCGTAAGGTCTGTGTTTTTTTTTTAAAGGAGCCTGCGGCGTAAATCTAACGAACGAACGCAAAGCAAAACGCAAATCAGCGCAAATTTATGTTTTTTTGCTGTTGTCGTTGTTGTTGTTGTTGTTGTTGTTATTATGTCGCTTTTGTTGCTTTCATTGCACGCCATCCGCCATTGCTCATATCCTATTCATCATTCCCCTTTCGTCCATTCGCCAGTTTGTGATTTGTTGTGGCTGTGCAAAAAGGCAGCTGATATAGAACTATGCCAAGGTAATTCGACAAGAATGAACAGTTTGAAAAAGGGCGTTTCAGGTTCTTTGAACTATGACAGGGTGGTCCGAAATAAAGAGACCCATATTCAACAACTATAGAAAAGCTAAAAAACTTTTCAAGCACATTATAGACGAATTGAGGTCTGGTAACTCCCACGTTTTCCACACATTCCGAACCATTTTCAATTTTAATTTATGCCCTACATGTCAAGTAATTGCATCTCTAACCCCACCAGGGGGTTTATTAATATTTAGCCAAGGCTAAATCCATTCAATTAGCCAAATGGCAACAACTGGCGACACAAACAATGTTTTTCAAATGCACGAACAGGTAGTACAATTCGAGCCAAGGACAGCTAAAGAATTTCCAGCAAATGATTAAATATGCCTGAAAATTGTTTGCTCTAAAAATGCAAACACATTCAATCATTAGCTATTGTTGTAATAGTATTTGACATTTATATATAAGAAATATTGTTTGAGATTTTGGATACTGTCAAATGCAAATGGCTTACTTAAATTTGTGAAAATCGCATAGAAAGGCGATTGAAAAGAGACCAAATATTCTTGGCTACCCTCTCTCTCTCTCCCTCTCTATTTCACTTGCATCTCTAATAATTATTATATCTCTCTTGCATGTAGTCAGCGTAATTACACACGAAATTCAATATTTTACACAAGAACTATTTACGAAATAATATCAAAAGCTTGTCAGCCCCAAATTTGTTTGTTCTTCTATTAGTTTGATAAGTGTAATGAGATCTTATATAATATGAGTGTTAATCTTCACCAGGTCTGAAATTATCTGAGACTGTGTGTGAGTTAATTTATTAAGTAAATTTTTACTTGAATTTTCCTACTTGGTAGGTCGGTGGTTCTGAATTTTTTCAGAAAAAACAATTTATGAAAGGACTAAAAAACGTATGCACATGCAAAAGCTTACATCCATGTCAAGTAAGGAGGGTGTGTGTGTGTGTGTGTGCGTGTGCGTGTGTGTGGCGGGTGTGCGGCAATTTAAGAACTTAACCTGCTTTCAATCTCAGGCAAATGGGGTTATTAAAAGGCGCTGGCAGGCGTATGGGTTAGAGCGTAATGCTCATTAGTAGAACAAAGGATCTGGGCATGAAAGACAATTTAATTGCCATAAATACGGGCCCTTTTATGTTTCGCTTTCGCTTTCGCTTCCGGACCTCGGTCTGAAGGTGAGCGTCTCGCTGCGGCGTCATCATCATCGTCATCGCTCTTGACTTGGCTCAAGCGGCTAAATCTTTGCGCAGTCCTTCCGCCCGTGAACCACACAATGGGGCACGAGCACAAAACAAAGGCCATCGCAGCCAGGGGCGAAATGTAGGCGACATCCACCTAGATGTAGCATTGTTTGTGACTTCCTCATCGACGGACTGTGCGTTGCTCCCTTGAATGGCGAGGCCTGTGCTTTGTCTGGTAGTTAACTATTTCATCTGAAGCCGTCTGCAGTTTGTCTCCCCAATCTTGACCTATCGAGCGTACTTTGTTCCCCAGGAAATTCGCAATCGAGCGACAAATATTTAATTATATTTTTCTGATTGTGCTAACAAAATAAATTCGATTTAAGACCATGTCTTGGCTTAAAAAATCGTATTATGTTGAACCAAAGTCTTAAAAACGGTTATATAAAATGTATCCACATACATATATCTGTCAATATATATCTGGTCAATCTATGTTGTTGTCTTCCATTATAGAAAAAAAAAACACATTGACTGCTAAAACTGTGGATAGTTGCTAAGAAACCCTTCTCATAAGCCTTTATCTAGACTTAAATCTTCAATTTGAGCTTAACTCTCTGATGGAATGATAGAATGTGACAGCCAAAAGCATTATAGGGGCCAGCAGCAGCTGTGCCTCCAGCAGTAGGGCAAGCCTCTATTACAAGGCAGATCAAGCAAAACATTCTGCCACAATCCCGAAACAAGTTGCATACTGTGCGGCGCTGTTGGCGCGAGCTGAATCTGAATCTGAATCTGAATGTGAATGTGAACAAACAACAGCAGCTGCTACTTTGAGCATGTGTGTGTGTGTGTGTGTGTGTGTGTGTGTTTGTTGCCCGTACTTGGCTCATATTTATGCGCCCCCTTCCGCTTTGTGAGCTTTTTCCGCCGCTTGGCTGTGTCTATTTTTGGAGTTGCTTCAAGTTGAGTCGAGTAGTTTAGTTGTTGTTGTTGTTGTTGTTTGTTTTTGCCGTCGTTGTTGTTTCGCGTGCTTTGTGCCTACTATTCATTGGATTTTGCTGCTTTCTATGGTACTTCGCGTAACGGTAACTACCGCACGCTTTAAATCGCTATTCTGTGTGTCAGGGCCTGCTCTACATCTCAGTCCCTGCCCGTTCGCCATGAACCAGCCCACCCTCTTCCACCCCCTGTGCCTTAGCTCTTAGCTAGAATTTGTATGCGTGCTGCGCCAGCTCCATATATCGATTTTCACCCTCTTGTTGTTGTTGTTGTTGCTGTTGTTGTTGTTGTTGTTTTCATGCCCAAATGCGCTTTGATCTAAGCGTTGAAAGCAAAATAAATCTCCCGGTTCGACGGGCGTAAAACAGCCGTAAATCCCTTTAATAACCTTTTTATAAAGCAATTTATCAAGCCCTTCATTTTTAACAAAAGATCTTGTGGTAAATATACTTTTATACCTATTTTTGTAATATATCAGGTAGGATTTTAACTTGCCAAATAGTCAAAATGTTAATCCGATATTAAAATTTAAATAATAAATAAACAAAAAAATAGACAAATATGTTTTTCTAAATTAAAAAAAATAATGACTGTCTAACGGGAAAATAAGGGGGGAAATGAACTAGAATGCGAATCACAAAAAGCCGCCTCCAACAAATACCCTGCATGCATTTCACGGCAGACTAATCTAAAAAGTATGCTGCACAATTTCCTAAATTAATTGATAAAAGGCTTCAAATAGGAATGATAGGAATATTTTGCCAGTCATAAAGTTGACTTAGATAGTTGTTAACGGAAAATAGCTGCATATGGTTCAATGTGGATGCAATTTAACTGGATTTGCCGCTGCTATCAATAGGCTGATTCATGCAACACATGGCAGCTGTGCGTCAGTACTCGCAAGTGGGTCAAGCTATGCAACTTTGACCCGATTCACGGACGTCAGTGTATTGTACATATATACAAGTCCATGTACTTGTGTATACAGAGTATATAGGAAAGTGGAGCGCTTCTTCGATTTTGTATCGCATATCAATGGGGCAATCAATCGAGTCGCGGTCAGGTGTCGCTTCCAAACGGGCTAGCGTCTGGGTAGCGCCAGGATGTCTAAGGTCCTTTATTATTATGGATGGATATTGCTGGTATGACATCACAAGCTCTAACAAGCCAGCCAGCCAGCCACCCCCTGGCCGGGGGAAGGGGGCCCGGCTAACGCACGGGGGTTGCAAGCGCTGCTAGAACTCAAAGATGGAGGCCTGAAACTGTGTTCGGGTGGATGGTGCAGAATGTTACAGAATGGAGCCTAGTAAAAAGGCAGACAAAGCAAAAGCAAACAAATCACGTGCAACCCAAATGTTGTAACGGTGGAAACGACGTCAAATGACGGCAACTGGAAACGTTTTAAAATAATCTTTGTTGTGTTTTTTTCTTCTTTTTTTTTTCTTGCGTCAAACGACATTTATTTGACCGTATCCACACACCTTTTAGTATTAGAAAATATTTCTGATTTATGTATTTACTTTATATATTTTTGTTGTTTTTTTTTGGAATATTCTTTGCTTGTCACGCGGAATAAAAATCAATTTTTACAAACGTCGCGACGTGTTTTTGTTTTTAATGGTTTCTTTGGCGTTTTTTTTTTTTCTTTGATGTGCTTTGCTGCTTTCGTGCTTTTGACCACTGAACACCAATCAAACGGAAAACAAGAACTTGGACCGAGAGCAAATAAGTTTTTTATGTAAAAATTGCCGAAAATCACAAAGCGTTGGCAGCAAAACGTTTGAGGAAACCGCAAAAACAATCACAAAACTATTTGCACGCTTTTGTTTGTGTTTGTGTTTGTGTTAGTGTTGAGCGCCGTGAAAAAATAATTTAACGGAAAATTGGTCAACCGAGCGTAAGCGCACACGACTCATAACTGCAGGCGACTGCGAGTTGCGAAAGTGTGAAAGTGAGAAAGCTCTCGACAGTGCACGAGAGCGTAAGCAATAGACTACGAAAGAGAGCGACAGAGAACGAGAGATTATAATAAGGAGATTGCGCACTGCTCACAGTGCGCTTTTGACTCCTGCTCAAATATAAGCTTTTTACATGAGCGTAGTAAACTTGTGTGTGTGTGGGGGCTGCTGCAACAAAAGAAACGGCTCTATTTTTAAAATATACCCACAAGCTACGCCACTGTATTTGACTTTGTTATTGTTGGGTGCTTCGAGAGAGGATGCGCACTGCAATTGTTGCAGTGGGAATACACCCCCACGCTGATTCTCAGTGCTTGCGCGAGAGAAATCAGGAGAGCAATCAATGAGTTTGCTAAACGTAATCGGCATTACTTAATTACATATTTAAAATTGTATAAATAATTCGTTTTGCTAAAATTAAGTAAATATTAATTTCCACAATTTAAAATGGAACATTGAATTAGCTCAAAGTTCCTTGTGTATGCTTTTACAGCATATAACTATATATGAATTTCCCTTTAATATTCCAACAAGTCGTTTTTGCACTCGAACTCCGACCGAAATTTCGAAATTTCGCGCCCTAATTGCTCGTTACACTACACTGTTTTCGATAGGTTCTTCATAAATTGACATCGATAGGCAACAATTTGAGAGCAGTGTTATTCTCTGTAAGTTAACATAACAACTGCGCAGTTAGCAGCAGCAACAACTCGCGGTCAATGAAGTGCAAATGCCGAATATCAAGAAGAAGAAGACACAATAATACCATTGCTCGTATTGCTGTTTAGTAAAAAATGTCCTCAACATCGGCGGCTGCATCAAATGCAGCGCCAGCAAAAACCGAAGTACGCTACGTAACGGAGGTGCCCAGCAGTCTCAAGCAATTGGCCCGGCTGGTTGTGCGCGGCTTCTACTCTCAGGAAGACGCGCTGATCATAGATATGCTAGTGCGGAATCCGTGCATGAAAGAGGACGACATTGGTGAGCTGCTGCGCTTCGAGAAGAAGCAGCTGCGAGCGCGGATCACGACGCTGCGCACCGACAAGTTCATACAAATACGTCTGAAAATGGAAACAGGTCCGGATGGCAAGGCGCAGAAGGTCAACTATTACTTTATTAATTACAAGACATTCGTTAACGTGGTCAAGTATAAGCTGGACTTGATGCGCAAACGCATGGAGACGGAGGAGAGGGATGCGACCAGTCGCGCCAGCTTCAAGTGCTCCACGTGTTCCAAAACATTCACAGATCTCGAGGCGGATCAGCTGTTCGATATGGCGACGTGCGAGTTCCGCTGCACGTACTGCGGCAGCTCCGTGGAGGAGGACAGTGCGGCAATGCCAAAGAAGGATTCGCGCCTAATGTTGGCGCACTTCAATGAGCAGCTGCAGCCGCTGTATGATCTGCTGCGTGAAGTGGAGGGCATTAAGCTGGCGCCAGAGGTGCTGGAACCAGAGCCGGTAGACATTGACACGATACGTGGCATTACCAAGCCGAACGCTCTGCGGCCGGACAGCCTGCAATGGTCGGGCGAAGCGACGCGTAACCAAGGCTTTGCTGTCGAAGAGACGCGCGTAGATGTGACCATTGGCGGTGATGACAGCACCGAGGCGATCGTTGAGCGAAAATCGCGACCCATTTGGATGACGGAGAGCACTGTGATAACCGATACGGAGACTGGCGACGGCAGCGCCCACACTGACAGCGCCCAATCGTCGGGCACATCCGGGCATCGCAATAAGAAGGAGAACGAGGATATTATGTCGGTGCTGTTGCAGCACGAGAAGCAGCCGGGCCAGCGAGACGCCCACTTGAAGGGTCTGCGCAAGGGCTCCTCGAATGCAAACTCTAGTGATTCCAGTGACGATGAGAATGACATTGACAACACAAAGATTCGTGAGTGCGCTTTGTATATTTATACAATTCCGTTGTTTAATTTACGGCTCTGTTCAATTTTAGCGAATGTCAATTTCGAGAACTACATCAACTCGGAGTCGGATGAGGAGGATGCCGATGTGCCGACTGTGCTGGTGGCAGGGCGTCCACATCCTTTGGATCAGCTGGACGATAAGCTCATTGCACAAATGACACCCCAGGAGAAGGAGAACTATATACACGTCTATCAGCAGCATTATAGCCATATATACGACTGATTCTCCTCCCAATTAGGCATTAAGTTAATAGTCTCATTGCTAGCTTAAGATGCATACATGTATATTAAATTGTCAGCCATCGTTCAGCCGATGGCCAGCACATGACGTTTGGCAACAACATAGGCTCAGAAATATACTTGTTCCAAATCCAATTCTTGTTGAAGCCAAACACCACGTTGGCGCCAAAATCGCTGTCCCTGAAGAAGCGCGCCGATCAGCTGTTCCCGCTGCTAACATCAACATTGCGCTGTTAGTGGACATTTGAATAACATGAAGTTGGCTGCGTGTGCAAAATGAATGCATGTTACGTGAGAAGGTTTATGTCAAATTACCGCTTTTGCTAAAACAGCTGTTCTCCGCATTTTTGTTTTTATGTTTTGTACTTTCGTGCTCGAAGCATGGTCGCCGCTGCTGTTGTGGGCGTCTATTTAGAATATACGTCAACTTGTGTGCGCTAGATAAGCGGCCAGTGCAAACAGTAATTAAGATATGCCCGTATATAACCAATACACGCCGTGCAATCATATCGTCGCCGCTAGTTGTCATTCTAATAAGATTCCTGCCAGACACGGATCGCATGTCGTGTTGCTTCAAAAGAACTGCATGCATAAATATTTAGCGTAGCATGAAATATGCTACATTTACGAACAAACGTGTAATGTTGACATCGGCGAATTTATTAGGAATGCAAGAAACGTGATCGCGCCGCGCACACACACACACATGTGTATGAAAACTCAACATATGAAAATTGTTTGATTTATGCTTGCCTTAGCTTATTCCCTTAATGTAACCAACAATCTTACTAGACTTTTTAATATAATCAACAATTTTATTGAAGTGTGTTAAATTAATCAATCAAAGAGTTATTGCATCCGGCCGCAAGCGTCGCCAATTGGGAAATTTCCCAAATAAACACGATCCAATTAGAATTGATGTATTGCTAATAGCCACGAATTGGAGTAACAAGGAACAGCCGCAAAATGAAGGCCACCATCAATAAGGATTTGCTGCCCATGAAGGCGCATTACTTTCTCTATAATGCCGGTAAAGTGCCCTCAAATCAACTAATATCATTTTACTACACCATCCGATAAGACTGAAACACCAGATCTACGATAAATACTTCTCGTTTATAATAAGTACATTATTTTGTCTAGTTGGGCCGGCGTGCAAGGTGTGCACACAAAAAAATAACTGATAAGACATCTATTCTGGCAGTCAACTAGATAGTCAATAAAAAAAAAAACAAGTGTGCCCGATAAGCATGATTGGTAAATAGTAATTGTCCATTGAATTCATTCAATTTGATCCCAGAAGCTTACACTATTCGGCAAAAGTATTTGTACACAAAATTAATTAGCTAATTTAAGTAAGTTTTATGTGTAAAGAGGAACTTGAGGGGGGGGGGGGGGGGGGCGATGACTGTTTCCCCGTGCTGCTTAGCATTAACAAATTACAAATAATAATATTGATAAGCCAGAATTTTGAGATGATCACGAGTCACTTTTTATCAATAAAACACGCAACAGTCACGGTAAAAAATATTACCACGCTCGACCTTTTGTTGTATATAATTTATATTTGCTTTAACTTTATGATCTTTCGTTTGCATTGGAAAGGCAACATTTAAATATTTATTTTTAATTCTCATAAGAGCACTTTTAGCCTATTCTTTGTTCTTCTTTTGTGTTCGATCGTGTTAGCGTGCTCGACACGAATACACGAACACGAACACGCACGAAACTTAACCCAATGAATAGACTTCAATGCAGTCGTAGACTTAACTGCGTCTGTTTTTATTTGATACGTGCTTGCTTTGAATTTGAAGCCAGATTCTAAAAGAGATACCCGGGCTAGGTCCAAAGTTGGCATGTCAGTCCCAACGGTGGCACGCCCTTGATGACCGCCCCTCGAGCTGCTATCAGCAATTAAAGTGGAATTTTTACTTTTAAAATAATTAAAAGTGTTATAGTACAGCCTCAACTTGGGAACTGAATGCACAGAAGAAAAATACAGACAAACAAATGCAAATATAAAATACTACGTGATGATATATGATGCCCCACGATGTTGTTGTTGTTGCTTTGCTTATCAGTCATAAACACCCACATTTGGACAATTCTCGCTAATCATTGCCGGGTTGTCTCTGTTACCCTGGAAAACGAATACACAATAATTGGGTATTTGATATACATACATAGACTGGCGTACAATCTTTGCAAAACACCGTACACTAATCTACATATTTGATGTTCTATTGCAGGCACCGCACCAGTGGTACCCTTTATGCCCCCGCTGGCGCTGCAGCTGGGCTACTCGCCGGTCGTGGTGGGCACCATGTACACGATACTACCGATTGTTGGCTTGCTGGCGAAGCCGATCTTCGGTTACATAGCCGATCGGTAAGTAGCCAATCAAAAAGAGCATAAAAAAATATGACCTTTCTATGCGATTTTCATAAGTTCAATTAACGATAATACAAGAGTGTGGGAATGAAAGGGGGACAGAGTGAGTGAGAAAGGCTGAACGAGCGAAAGTGCGAACGAAATGGAAACTGGGCAAAGCGCAAGTCTTGAATGGATTAAAAGAAACACCAATTTTTTGTTCTCTGTCAATAGCTATCATCGCCATCGCTTCCTCTTCCTGGCTAGCCAGCTACTCATCGCCGTGTCCTTTTTCATGATATTGTTTGTGCCGGCCGCCGAAAAGCCACAATTCCACTGTCACGCCGGGGTGTCCAACATACGCTACTGCTCCAACTATCCCAAGGATGCAAAACAGAATCTGGAAACATACTACGGCAATCGGACCTTAAGCTGCAACATGTATTGCCAAATGGCGCCGGATATGTGGGATATTGTATGTCAGTTTTGGCGTCCAGTCAATGCTTCTCGGAACCAGGCGAGCAATTGCGAGGCAAGCCGTTCGAAGGCTTGGATCAACTTTACCACCTATATCAACGCCAGGGATATTATCGAGGAGGAATCGCTGGACGGCGGCAAGTGCCTCAATTTTCTAATACCGCACGATCAGGGCATACTGGAGTCGCAGAATGTGACACTCTATTGCCCCAAGGATAGGGTCATGTTCCAGCCCAGCTGCCAGATGGACTGCAACGAGCAATATCTCAAGGAACTGCTGCCCGAGAGCACAATGATCAATATGGGCAGCGCCATCGCCATGCCAGAGTTCTGGTTCTTCTTTAGCATGCTGATCATCAGCTGGATAGGCATGGCCGTGGTGGTGAGTATTGGCGATGCCATATGCTTCGGCATACTCGGCGATCGGCATCATCTGTATGGCAAGCAACGCTTGTGCGGCTCGCTGGGCTGGGGTATCTTTGCACTGCTCGCCGGCCTGCTGGTTGATGCAATGTCGCATGAGGGCAGCTCGGAGAAGAACTATACGATTATCTTTTGGATGACGCTGATCATAATGGGCTTTGATATGCTGGCCTCCACCAAGCTGAAGGTTTGTCTTCATTTCAAGCTCTCGCCAATAACTGATGAATCGTTTTTCTCGTGCACAGCACACACAGACTCACATGTCGGCCAACATACTTAAGGATGTGGGCCAAATGTTTCTATCGGTGCGCTGCGTCGTCTTCTTTCTGTGGTGCGTGGCCATCGGTCTGTGCACAGCGCTGATTTGGAACTTTCTGTTTATCTATCTGGATGAGCTGGCCGAGCACTACGACAATGGCACCGACTTCATTACTACGCTGGAGGGACTGGTTATGGGCATCCAGTGCTTTGGTGGCGAGCTGCCTTTCTTTTTTATGTCCGGCTGGATCCTAAAGCGCATTGGGCATGTAAATGCCATGAGCCTGGTGCTCTTTGGCTTTGGTGTACGCTTCCTTTTGTACTCTATGCTGCAGAATCCCTGGTATATACTGCCCATTGAGCTGCTCAATGGCCTCACCTTTGGACTCTTCTATGCGACAATGGCCTCCTATGCCAGCATCGTTGCACCGCCTGGCACCGAGGCCACTATGCAGGTGAGAGATTCTCTGATCCCTTTAACACAAGTGTTCATATCTCATCCATCATTTCCAGAGTCTTGTGGGCGCCATTTTCGAGGGTGTCGGCGTCTCAATAGGCAGCCAAATTGGCGGACAGCTCTTTGACGCAGTCAGCGGACGCACCACCTTTGAGATATTTAGCATTGGCGCCTTCATAGTGTTTATTATACATGTCTGTGTCCAAATGTATCTGAAACGCAAAGGTCCGGATGACAACGGTAAGGGTAGGTCCTCCACAGCCTCCGCTTCCGCTTCTGCTCCCGCTTCCGCCTCTCCCGACTGCCTGCCTAGTACTAAAAACAATGATGAGTTTACCGATGTCGATTTGAGCTAAGGTTACATATTTTCTTGGCAACTGCCATAGTACAATAGAAGGTCAATTACAATACCCAAAGAATTTAAAATAGTTCACGGCAATTATTTACTTACAAAGACGTAAAATACCTCGTTTTAAATGAATGTATAATATATGTACCATAATGATATGGCAAGAGTTGTCATTAATCAGCTATGCCACAAAAGTTTCCATTTGAAAAGGTTTGCAGCTATTTAGTTAGATAGTACTTGATATTAATACAGTTTAATTTTTGATCACAAATCTTTCAAATCTATTAACAATTCTGTTTACGGTTATGTCAGACAAAAGTTTTTTGAACATTTTATTTTATAGCCTTGAAGAAAGTCTGAAAATTTCTTAAAGGTCCTTTTTTGCCTCATATCTTTTCATTTGGTATGCGATACTAATATTTATATACACAAAATATTATTTAGATTCACAATAAATGCGAAAGATATCGCATAAAGCTTATCTAATAATGTTAATAAACGAATTTCCCGTACACATACGGCTTGCTGATAGATTGTTTTTAAATATATATATATATATTAATTTTATATATTTAAAGTACATTTGACGAAGTCTGCTCAATCACAGCCTTTGCTCATCAATGTTTCAGACGCATATTCAAAATGCAAATTTCTAAATACTTTGACATTTTTTTTAAATAACATCTAAATCAATAATCGAACTGAACATACAAAATAAAATTGACAATAAAAGTTACAAACTTTTTTGTGCACACATTTCAAATGCATTTATGAAACCAATCAATCAATTATTATCATTTAAGTTAAGGTATTCAGGTATTTGTTTTTAAATAACTAAATTTACATATTTAGAAAATAAAACACAAACTTTTCAACAACTGCAACAACTAATGAATGTCTCAAATACTTTTAGGCACTGTCAAATATTTTGCACCGACAGATGCAATGCACATGCTGAATGAACAGGAATACACAAATAGTATTAGCTAAGCTGCTCCCCTCTGTGATCTGAAGTATTCGTATCCTGATCAGTGAGAATCAACACACAATCAACCAAGAAAACCAAAACCAAAACAACAAAAACAACAACCACATTATTGCTGCTGCTCAGTTGAATGGCAATTTAAAGAATTGCTTTATCGAATTGCATGTTGAATTTTCAATATTCAATCTTAATTGTATTTATAATAATTATATGTAATTTTACTTTAATTGAGTAACCACACACACACAAACAAAAACACGTAATTGTGCATGCTTTTAGCAAACATTAGCTTAGTTTATGCTCTGCATATCGTGAAATCTCTTTGACAATCTCCAACATTTCCATTTGGCTATTTAAGCGAACGCTGTCAACTTATCACGATATGCAGCCGCACACAAATTTATTGGCATGTTTATAAATCTCTTGAAAAAGTCAAAGTTTGTAATTGTCGTCGTTTTAGCGCTGTGAATGTTTAAATGTTATATTTTGTACACTATTAGATACTTAAAATGAACAATTGGCATATCAAAATTGGCTTCACTTGCATGTAGCTTCATTTCAATTATAAATATACTGTGAAATCTCGAAAGTATTTACCAAATTATATACAGAACATATACAAATAGTTAGCAACTTGTTTGTATAAGTCAATTATGGGCTTTAATCCATAGATAAACATTTAAATAATATATGTTTAATTAGCTCTAGTTCTAGATTCTTGTCAGCGTTTGCCTTACCCATGTTTGGGCTCGGCAACTTTGTAATTACTTATGATAGCTTAGACCTACAAATTTAACTACTGCAACTGGCCGCCTATGAGCGACTCCTCCTGCTGTTGCTTTTCGAGTTTGCGCTGGTAATCGCGCTGCTTGCAGGTGGCCACGTTGGCGGCTCGTTTCTGTAATCAGTAATCAGTAATCGGTAATCAGAAAGATACGACATCAACTTAGTTATGATTTAACTTTTGCATGTGTACTCTACAACTTTGTAAACTGTTGATTATTATTTTTTATGGTTTTATGCAACAATAAAGTTACGTTCTTTTGGGTTTCATTTTACATTGTGTCGCTCACCTTTAGAACCTTAGACCGTTGGTAAATGGACTGCATATCCTTTTTTATTTTCACCAGTCTCTCTTTGTAGCGCTTCACATCATTCATCTAAATGTGTAGATTGTTGGGCAAGCCAAACGAATTTCATTATATATCATATGATTATTAACATGCACTTAGATTGGCTAACAAAAATCAGCAACAAATTCATTTAGATGTCTGCGATAAGATTTTATATGCCCTCATTTAAATACCAAGACATTGCTTATTACTGATATTGTGTGCCAGCGAGGGCGGTTCAGCAAATTGAAGACCTTCTTATGGCAGAAATTAGGGACTATTTGGACCTAATTCTTAAATTTCCATTGCAACGAAAGTCTTAGTGGAACCATCATCACGCCAATCCGTATCTATTTTCACAAAGGATAACTCCGAAATAGAGCATAGCTTTGCTGATCCTAGCTAACGAGCTTGCAATTCCTATTCTCCATGAATGTCGACTCATTACGTGCTATAGGAGAAACCATCTGGGCAAGGAGTACGTGTGCCAGCTCTTGTCAGGGCTTTTTCATAAAGGTCGACTCCCAGGCAAAAGGGTCGTGCTCAATGCCGTCCACCTCTCCTTTGTGAGATTCCCCAAAATTTTGACCATCTGAATGCTTACCATATCAATTAATTTTGCTACCTCACTGCAGTCCAGCTTATATTTCTCCTTGGAGACGTCAATGTAGAACTTGTTTTGCTTGCCACTACAGATAGATTTAGTGTAAGCCATTTTCCACATATGACATGTTCAAACAAAACTCACATTAATTCCTTGAGCTGCGCTCGGACACGTACTAAGGGCGGCTCGGCTATTTCGAGTATTCCGAAGGACATTTGTAAGGCTGCCATGGAGCATTCGTTGTCGTCTGTTTTCACTAGCTTGTTGTTGTTCTCTGGTACCACGGCAGCGCCGCTGACCGTGCGATCGGCATCGAGTTGATCAATGACACTGCATGATAACCCGAAATATATATCATTTCTATACAAAACCAACCATTGATTACCTATTTAAGTTGCTGCTTTTCAACATTGTAAAATGAAGCACAGGAGAATTGACAACCAAACAAAAGAATGCTACAAATAGCTGTTTATGTTAGTGTTGTAAAGATTATCAAAATCATGCTATCGATATCGAGCTTTACCCAGCCCTGCGCCAATCAGCTGTTTAAGCTGTAACAACTGTTTGTTTATTTGTGCGAGAATGCATATTAACAAATTTTAATCACAATTAATTATGCGTTGTGCTGTCAGGTATTGTGGCAACAACAATCGAAATGGCAATAAAAACAATTGGCGCTACTTTCATTTCCCCAAGCATAAAGAACAGCTCAAAAAATGGATTCAATTTTGCGAGCGGGACATAGCAAACCCAACAACAGGTAAATCGATTTATTTATTAACTTATTAATATTGTAATCATAAACCGTTAGCCTGCATTTGCAATGAGCACTTTACGCCGGAAGACTTTGAGCGAAATATGCAATATGAACTGGGTAAGTTAAATATTAGCTCTTTATGGCAGACACGATTTTAACGTTCAAGCTACTTGCAGGCTTCACGCGCAAAAATCCAACTAAATTAAAGCCCGGCTCCTGTCCCAGCATCCATGGACCACAGGATAAGCTGTTACAAAGCGATGCGAAAAATAAACGCAGCAACAATCGAAAGGATGTGTCGGCTTTAAGCCCGCATCGTTTCTTCAAAGAGCTGCAGGAGGCTTCAAACTCCAATCCACCAAATACAGAAAATGGGAATTTAGTTAAATTCGAAGAACTAGAAGACGTAGCTGAAAGCAGCAGCAACCTATGCCAAAACTATGAAATGATAGAGTATATAAACGACACGGAAGAGTATACAGATGTGCAGCTAACTGACGAGGCGCCTCCCGTTGCGCGATTCGAGCTGGAAATAATTGATCCGCTCAATCCTCAAAGCAATGCGGAGGAGCATGTGGAAATCATCGATTCGGAGAGTGACAACTATGCCAGGCATTTGGAAATCGAAGTGTATGCTATTAAAACTAATGTCCATTAAAACATTTACAAAGCTCACATTTATACTTATTTACAGGAGCAGCCTCAAACGGCAGGTCTTCTTTCTCAAAGACGAGCGTAAAAAACTGATCGAGGAAATTCAAAATCTAAGGGCAACAGTTCGCAGCAGTCGACTTCAGCATGCCGATTCCTTAGAAAACCTAAACTTATCCAACAATAAAGTAATTATTATAATTTAAAAAAAAATAGGATTCTACAATTCTATTATGTTTATATTTACAGGCCACAATATCCAGACACAGAGCTCCAATTAAGAAGACGGTTATGCTCTATACTGCAAATATTGATACTATTAGGAAACTAAGAAAAATTGACAAGTCGACTGAATAAAGCAATCATATAGTAAATAAATCTATTTTAACCTAAAAGTTAGTGTTTTCATAAGCATATTTTTAAGCATCAAAAGTTCTATTTTGCGCTGCGGTTAATTACTAAAACATTTTTCTTTTAAATATTTTCAGAATCAAGCACAGAACTGGGCATGGATTTAAAAGGAATTTTAGAGAATTTTAAGCAAACAATTTCTAGGTACCTCAACGTAGTTTCCCAGAAAAACTTCACGATTAAACATATGTACATGAAATGTACTCGACCAACTCTCCGAGTTCCCTAACTGTCCGACGCTGTCATAACTCAACCTAAACGAGCAGGCAAATCTATTGTTAGTTATTTCTGCTGCTATCGCGGAAATTCGGCTGTAATCGCGGGCTGGAAAATTTCCACAGGGTCAAAGTCATTAGGATTACTTCGCCATATTGAATTTATGCATGCGGCTCCTCTACCTGCGGACCTATAAAAGAGCAGTCTGACTTAGGATCGACCTGCACTACAAGCGAAACACTCTGGCGACCAACATCGTGCTAGTTCCGGACAAAGACTCTGGCTAGTTGGCGATTCAACGGTTCCTGTTGCCACGTGAAGCAGAAGGGCCAAATCAACATCTGGGGAATGTCACAAAACTGGAACTCTGACAAGTTGGCGATGGGCATCGATGCCACAAGGCGCAGAAGGGAATCAGGAGACTGCAATCCATGGATCCTGCCAAAGCAACCGCTTGTTGTGTCAGCAATTTTAGGCAAAACTAGTTAATTGTAGCTAAATTCTAAACAAATTGTATATAGCCCCTTAATCCCTAATAGTTTATTTATAGCCCTGCATAGTCAAATTTATTTAGTTCAATTGTACATACTTAATTATAGATAATTATTTAGTCAAATATTATAAGTATATTCAAAATATACGTGATAATTTTGCAATAAAATGAAATTTACACAACAAATTCAAAGATGCTTTTTTTTTCAATTATCAAAAGCTCGACTCAAGTTCTACTGTGTATAGGAACAAGACAGACTTAAGTTGAAAATGATCCAAAAATAAATTATTTTGCATTTTATACAGAATTGAATTATATGTCTTGTGTCTAGCATTATGCACTCAAGTCGAAAAGGGTATTAGCAGCTCGTTTTGCCTTAATCAAAAATATCCGCATTTATTGATAAAACCTGGGTTACCGTGGAGCCCAAGGAAACCTTTTGTTTGGCAAAAAAGTTTGCCTGTCTACAAAAGAATTGAATTGAAAGATAAGGTTCCTGTTAGTTGCTCGGAATGGAGTATATTTTTAAGAAGGAGCGTCGCACATTTGGATCACGGGTGCATTTCGAGGACAAGGATGAGGTGGTATTCAGCGAAAACTCCAATCCCGAACTGGTCAAGAGCTACATACTTAAGAATCCCGTGGACCGTTCCACACAATATGCTGGACAGACATCGCTGAGCGTTGCCAACACGGAGCGGGCCACATATAAGAGCACGGGTATCACGCACAATGAGGGCGGCTGGCCGAAGGACATCAATATGCATGACCCGGAGCAGACGGTGCGCTATAAGCGCAAAATCGAAAAGGATGACAATTACATAACGCAAGTGATGAACCTCACGAAGCCGATGGAGCACTATATACACCAGAATAATGCCGTCAACATCTATGAGAATTACTTTGAGAATATGGAGCCGGCGCCGCTGCCAGAAGCTTGCAAATCGCGCACCGTTAACGTCTATCGTGATCCCAATCCGATAAAGGTGCCCGTCAAGCATCTGTCCTGGTCGCCGGACGGTGGCATTAAAATGGCGGTCAGCCATTGTGATATGAAGTTTCAGGGCGACAAGACCGGACAGCGCTGCAACTCGTACATTTGGGAGGTGGAGAACCCCAACGAACCGTTTCTAACGCTCGAGCCGAAGGTGCCGTGCGTATGCCTCGAGTACAATCAAAAGGATCCGACTAGCCTGGTTAGCGGCATGTACAACGGCCAGGTGGCCGCCTGGGATACGCGACACGGCAAGCATCCGGTAATGATTAGCGAACGCGAAGTGTGCCATCGCGATCCAGTCAATTCGGTGCTCTGGAACAACTCCAAGAGCGGCACCGAGTTCTTCTCGGGCGGCTCCGATGGACAGGTGCTCTGGTGGGATACACGTAAACTCACCGAACCTCTGGATCGACTGCTTATGGATCCTGTCAAAGGTGATGAGCAGGATTTATCGCGCTCCTACGGCATCTCAGTGCTGGAGTATGAGACCACCATACCGACTAGATTCATGGCCGGCACCGAGATGGGCATGCTCTTCTCGTGCAACCGCAAGGGCAAAACGCCCACGGAGAAGATACAAATCCGGGTAGATCTTGTTGTGTACTGCTCCTTGTCTCCTCCTTAACTTGATCGTCGGTCCAATTACAGATGATGTGCCACTTGGGACCTGTTTATGCGATCACACGTAATCCAGCTTTTGTAAAGAACTTCCTTACCGTGGGCGATTGGTGTGCGCGCATCTGGTCTGAGGACTGTCGTGAGAGCTCAATTATTTGGACCAAGAGCAGCTCCTCCATGCTGACAGACGGCGCCTGGAGTTACACCAAGTGGGAAGCATTTAAATTAACTATCGAAACTGTGTGTCCACAACATTTTTTTATATCTTCATCTTAGGGTCTCTCAGTTCTTTATTACTCGCATGGATGGTGTGCTGGACACATGGGATCTGCTGCAGCAGCAGAACGAGCCGGTTCTAACGGTAAAGGTCTGTGATGAGCCGCTCTACTGCGTGCGGACCAACGAGAACGGAAAATTCGTCAGCTGTGGCAGCAAATTGGGTGCAACATTTCTCATCGAGGTTTCCGACAATATGATCATGTCGGCCAAGAATGATAAGCCGCTGCTAACTGCGGTAAGCTTTGCGTAGTAACTAATAGATTCACTTATAAAAAGTACTAATATTTTGCTTTTTAAAGATGTTTGAGCGCGAAAATCGACGCGAGAAAATCTTGGAGGCCAAGTCAAGGGAGAGCAAACTGAAGATAAAGGCCAATCATGGCCAGGAACAAGCCGATCTAACTATGCTGAATGGCAAGATCAATATGGCGCCATTTGCCAGCGCCTGCGAGCAAGCAGCCAGTGAATACTTTGCCGCCGTGGAACAGGAGCGTCTGCGCCGACTGCCCGGAGGCGGAGGCAAGCGTAGGTGAACGGTTTTGCTTTGGCTATTATCATAATGATATTTAATATTTAATTGTTCTTACAGAGGATGTGGAGGAGGCTGATGTCTCAGAAGCGGAGAGCTCGAAAGTTTAAATCTGAAATTGTTAATAACTTTTTGTTGAGTTAATAGTTAATAAAGAATACAAATGATTCTTGCTCTGACTCTTAATGATAATTTATATTTTCGGTTAAATTTAAGCGTTGCCCAGCACTGCAAGCAGTCGATAACTTGTGGCGGTCGGTCAATAGACAACGAACAGCATACCTAGCTCGAGTAAACTACATACACTTCAGTCATCGATAAGACCAGCGAGAATTAAGATATATATTTTGTATTTAAAAAACGTATATTAAGTGTAAGATAACTTTGTGCATTACTAAGCTATTTAATTTAATTGTCAGTTTAAATATTTAGTAAGTCCAATTGCTGAATTGAGCATTCCGTTCAAAGTGCGCGCGTTATATATAACCAACTTTCTTGTTGCACGTTGCGCTGTGTGGCCTACGTGACTCAGAAACAGTTATCAATGGCGCAACAACAGCTGCTTCAGCTGAGTTCACTGACCAATTTTCGTGCAACAGCAACCCCTGAGGCAAGCAGCATTTAAATTTGAACTGTTTTCGTAGACAGTCATTAATTGCAAATATTATTTCGAGCAGTGTACAAGTGTGCACACGTGTGTCTATTAAATAATCAGCAACTAAATAATAATAAAAACAAAGTACAACAACAAAAACAAAAGTGAACGTCTAGGAAATCGCAGAGAAAACCTTGGCGCGTTTGCCATTCGACAGTTGCAACTAAAATAATTAGTTCTAAAGTGAAGGTGAGGTCCGAAGATCTGAGTCATCTAAAGTTCAGTTGTTTCTTTGTTTGAAACAACTTCAAATGTAAAGCTGATGAAGAAGAAGAAGAAAACAGTAGTGTTTAGCTGCAATGAAAACGTAATGTTTACATCTGAATTTTCATGTCTGCAGTCACGTAGACCTGAGATTTTTTTTAAGCGAGACAGCCAGCTAATTTGCGCAGCTCATCTGCTTACATACATGTATAGAAATATAATTATATTTACTGCATATGAAAATAACTGACAAGGTCAAGTTTGTTGTCATATTTGTTGTGCACAGCACGTTTGTTCATCGTATCGAATTTCTCAATTAACGCCAGTGTATTACTCTTACAGCTCCATTCAGTGGACAACATGTTGGACATTGTCCAACCCGGCGATCAGCTGAACAGCGGCAGCAGCAGCAGTGATGTGGTCGTCATTCGAGCCAAGCCAAAGAAGGTGTTCAAGCCAAAGGCGCGCATCAATCGCATGCCACAGGAGCTGCTCGATGATCCGCAACTGCAGCGGGCCATTGCTAGGCTGCCCTCGAACTACAACTTTGAGCTGCACAAGACCATATGGCGCATACGGGAAACGAAGTCGAGGCGTGTTGCCTTGCAGCTGCCAGAGGGCCTGCTGATGTACGCAATGGTAATAAGCGATATTATAGAGCGTTTCACAAGCGCGGACACTGTCATCATGGGCGATGTGACTTATGGCGCATGTTGCGTTGATGACTACACGGCGCAGGCCTTGGGCGCAGATCTGCTGGTGCACTATGGCCACAGCTGTTTAATACCCGTCGATCAGACCTGCGGCATTAAAGTTCTATACATCTTTGTGGACATTAAAATCGATCCGCTGCATTTTCTCGACTCAGTCAAGCTGAACTTTAAGCCCGAGGACGGCCAAATAGCCCTGGTCAGCACAATACAGTTTGTAACCACGCTTCAATCAGCTGCAACCGAGCTGAAAGCAGCCGGCTACGATGTGCTCGTGCCACAGGCCAAGCCGCTGAGTCCGGGTGAAATATTGGGCTGCACTTCGCCCCAGCTGCCGGAGACAACGCAAATGATAATCTACCTGGGTGACGGACGTTTCCACCTGGAATCCGCCATGATTGCCAACCCGCTGCTGAAGGTAGGCAGAACGCTGCTGTCTTTGCATTGTAAACCTTATTAACTGTATCCCTTTGCAGGCCTACAAGTACGATCCGTACGAGAAAAAGTTCACAGTGGAGCATTATGATCACAAGGCCATGCAAGGCTTGCGACATGCGGCCGTGCAGCGCGCCAAGCAAGCGCAACGCATTGGCATCATCCTAGGCACACTTGGTCGACAGGGCAGCGCTCGTGTGCACCGATTTCTGGAGAAGCGTCTGCATGCCAAGGGCATTGCGACCACCACCATACTGCTGTCTGAGATCTTTCCACAGAAGCTGGCACTGTTTGCTGACATTGATGCCTTCGTGCAAATTGCCTGTCCACGCCTGTCCATTGATTGGGGCTCGGCCTTTGAGCAGCCACTGCTGAATCCCTATGAGCTGTCTGTGGTGCTGGGCGACATTGAGTGGACGCCAGATAATGCCTCGCCACGCAACAATGCTTATCCCATGGATTTCTATGCTAGCGGCAGCCTGGGCCCCTGGACGCCTAACTTTAAGCCACCAGCGCTGGGCGAATGCGAGAACCGGCCCTCGGCAGACTGTTGTGGACGCTGCACGCGTGCTGAGTTAGAGAAGGACGAAACCGGCAAGGCGGCAGCATTAGCCGACATACTTGATTTTAAGAAGGGCTAAACGATGCTACAATTTGCAGTTTGAGGACACCTGAAGCTTTCCTCATTTCTCTCAAGCGTCTTAAGCGACTTAATGCTAAGTAACTAAGTAACTAGGTGATTTAGTTTATGTGCCCGCCCAGCCCAAATGTAATATGGTATAGCTACTAATTTAAGTTAGTACAAATTTGATTTCTAGCTTATATAGCGCTATGTATAATACATTAGCGCAACTTTTGTGTTCATGCATCTTCCCTTTGATAACGTTACAGCATTCATAAAATATTCTAGTTTTTAGTTACATATCCAGAAACAAATATAAAAAACAAATGTTAACACAATTTCAAATGCAATTTCAATTATTTCAGTGCTATAAATATGTTCATGCCATATACATTATCAGCTGACTTGGTGTAATCTTTTGCACTCTAACATTTGCTTCGCAATGATGCATTAGCGTCACGCCATGTATTTATATACCCAAATAAATCTCTCATCAGCATTATTTTTATTTCTAACTAACTAACTTATTAGGAAGCAGATTTTTTCACAAGAGGCACCACAATGGGCCTTAAGGCGAAGATGGCTTCCGGATAGAAAACGTTGTTAATTGTTATCCGGTTCAGACTGTCTTTTATAACTATTTATATATGCACGATCCACAACACGTGCGCAAAATAGCAGGAAATCCAAACTCAATTTTTTATAAAATATGTTAGTTGAAGAAAGCGTCATATTGAAGCCTGCATATTAATTAGTAGTTAATTCTAGGATACTTTGCAGGGTACATTTTAGTCGAGCATACTCCGCGAATAGATAGATAACAAAAATGCTAGTTAAATAACTGGCTTAAACATTTAATTTAAATTTAATAAATGCAATTGATCGATTTAAGTATTCTTGATTCAGTTGAACCTGATTGGAAATGTTGAAATGATTTAAATGAAATTAAACCAAATAGCTTGAGGACATTTTATTTTATACTAGCATGGCTCGTTTCAAAAGAAGTTTCATATAAAGTTTCCACACTTGCGGGTGGAATATCCATCCACCTTTGCACACGAAAATCACAGTGAAAAATTCAGCTTCCCAGCTCTTACGGTATGTGCTGTGCGTGGATTACCAAACGGGCAGTCAGGCGGTCAGTCAGTCAGTCAGTCAGTCGGTCAGTCAGTCAATCAGTTTTTCAGCTGTTCACTTAAAAGCTAGCTTATGGTGCCTTGGCTTTTATACCCTTACAGAGTTTTATAATTTTATCATGATGTCAATCTGATCAGTTTTCGTTTCTATGCGTACTCCTTTATCAGTTTTATAGCTAGGTCGGAACCGGATCGGAGCACTATATCTATCACATAACTGCCATAAGAACGATCGGTCGAACAGTGGATTCTGTTATGGAAAACTTATTTTTTGATTTCTTAGTTCGAGTTTTCTCCTCGTACATATGTTAATCTTATCTATATCGGATAACTATATCAAATAACTGCCATGAGAACAATATACTGAACATTTATTTCTTGTACGAACAACTTTTTGCTTATCTAAATATCCTACGCAAACTTGGCATTTATATGTTATGTCCTAGCCATGCTCTATATGTATGTATATGCAAAATCTTATCAATATCGGATAGCTATATCATATAGCTGTCGTAGGAATAGTGCACTGAAAATTATGAACAACTTTTTGCTTATCTAAATATCTTACCCAGACTACTTTATTATGTTTCTGCCATAGGAACGATTAATCGAAAAGTAGTTTCTTGTATGGCAAATATTTTTTTTTCGAATATTCTCACATATCAGCAGAACCGTAAGGCAAATGCAAGGCAAATACAAGGCAAATGCAAAGCAAGTGCAAGGGTTCCGAAGTTATTCTTACTTTTATTTTCTTTTTTCATTGAGCTCTTAGAACAGATAAGCTTAGAGAGGTTTCAATTAATTCATTCATATTTCATTCTATTGTCGTGCGTGTGGATTGTCGGTTCCACATTCGCAGTTTAAGCAAAATGAAATCTGTTTTGTTTCCGTATGTGCTATGCTTAAGCCTAATGCTCATTCTAGCTGAAACACAGGCTAATGAAAATGAGGTATAAGCCAGTTTATTTAATTGAAGTTTGCGTGAAGTGCGGTAAATAATCGTGTGTTTCTTAGTCTTGTGTGGCAATCAGAATCGCAGAGGAACAATGTGGAGAGCACACCTTTAAGGCTGTGAGACCTTTGTTAAAGTATATTCATCAGATGAAGGAGGAAATGGAAAACAATAACAATAAAATTGAAGGCAAAGACAGAGAAATCAAGCAACTGCAGCAAAAGCTAGCCGCGCGTAATGAAGATCTTATCGCGGAACAGAAAGCTCAGATTGATTTATACAAACAGAGTATCAAAGAGCTAACCAACAACGTTTTGTTCATAAAAGAGGAAATGGGTAGACTTATTTCCAATGCCTTGAAAATTCAGGACTATGAAGAGCAGCTGGAGAAACAAAAGAAGTCAATTGATCAACAGGCCCAGCAAATATCCGAACTCAACAACGAAATCAACAAGAAACTAAAAAGCCACGAAGAGAAGCCCGTTTACGGTAAATGCACCGATACTCCGGGTATTCATAAGATTAAACCGGATCAAGGACCTCCTTTCGATGCACTTTGTGACAGTACGACAGCAGGTCCTGGCTGGATGGTTATCCAGCAGCGAATCAATGGTAGGGAGGATTTTTACAGGAATTGGGCCACTTACCGTGAAGGCTTTGGTTCCTTTGATGGTGATTTTTTCTTAGGACTTGAAAAGATTCATCGCTTGACGCGCGCCCAGCCTCATGAGCTCTACATACATATGGAAGGATTTGATGGAGACATCAAATACAGAAGATACGATCAATTTGGCATTTCTGGCGAGGAGGACCAATACACCTTGATCAGCTTAGGTGAATCTGAGGGCAGTGCAAAATATGATTACTTCGAATGCCACAAAGATAAGAAATTCACCACATTCGATCGTGACAATGACAATTATCATCGCAACTGCGCGAGCCGAGACGAACGTGGAGGTGGCTGGTGGTACGATTATTGTGGATTCAGGTATTGATCGGCTTTGTCAGCTGTGTCAAAACAATTTATATGCAATTGTTTTTTATATTGTTTTTTTTTTTTAGCAATTTAAATGGCAAATACTATGATTACAAGGTGTCCAAAGTTGATGCCATATTTTGGGATGGGATCACCTCCTTGAAGACAGTCAAAATGCTTATACGCCCCAAAAGCAAAGGAAAATAAAATAAAAAACTTATATGTCTAGCATTTATTGTAAAAAAGCTTAAGCTGTTGTACAATTTATTTATTAATAAATGCAGATGCTGTAATCCCAACTAAAATTCACAACAGACGAGTAGCAAAAAATATTAAAATCGACGCGTATCAAAGAATTTGATATTATAACAAGTAAGAAGTTCAGTCGGGAGCTCCCGAATAGGGAATAATAATAATAAAGAATTAAAAAAAAAAGTTCCCTTGGCATGGTTCGAATTTGTAACTAACCGTATTACTTACTGACGACTCTAGTCAACAGAGAAACCAGCAAAAAAAATAAATAAAAATTGCATCCCAGGTAGGGCTCGATCTCGCGACAGACCGCAACACTTGCTATGCCTCTACTAAACTAAAATAGCATTACAGAAAAAAGTCGCAATCGGAATGCTGTTAGAATGCGATAGAATACGAAGCAGGCGCGCTGAATGTGTGTGTGTACATGTATATACAAATTCTTGAAATTCCCATTTTCAATGGGTTCAGGGTATAAAGAAAAACTTTGTTAATTGTTATCCAACACGTGCGCAAAATTTTATATAAAATATATAAAATTTTATATAAAATATGGATAAAGGCTTGCTACCTACCAGCCTGCATATTGATCAGCAATTAATTAGAGGATACTTTGCAGGATATATTTTAGTCGAGCATACTCCGCGAAAATGCGGTCAGTGAACTGAAAAGTAAACAAGCGGCTAGTTGCATACCTTGCTATCAGTGTTGCGATGGGAGTATTAATAAAATTAAAAATAATTTCTAGGATTATGTCAGAGTACAATCTAATGAATGTGCCACTTGAGGCACTAAAAAAAGTTGATTTAAGTATTTTTACTTCTGTTGATCCTGATTGGAACTGCAGCAGCTTTACAGATTACTTATTACGCATTGACAGATCTTTGAAAATGAGTTGCGGCCGATCGGATGGTAAACAAATATGTTTCATACAACAGTTTCCACGATTTTTCCACTTGCGGGTGGAATTTCCCGAAACCCCGTCTCAACGGGCTTTTTCTTCATATAAGGTAACCACAGTAAACATTTCAAACTCCTAGTTCTTACGGTTCGGGCTGTGCGTTGATCACCAATCAGTCAGTCAGAAGTCATTAGAATTGTATTAGATAATTATTTGTATTATTTATATAAATATATTTCTTTACCAATTTATCAAAAATTTGACTTCTTTAGTTATCTAATAAACATCAGTTAGGGCAATAATAAAATAAATGTTTCTATTTATTTTAATTTGAAGTAAATGTTGTCTGAAAGAAAAGGAAGGAAAACTGACATGACGTATTTGAATTCATGAGAATCGCAGAGGAAGGCGACATCTTACAGCAGCGCAGCGAACAGTATTCTTGATCTGCAGCTGAAAAAATAAACATACACACACACACACACACACACACACACACACACACACACACACACACACACATATATATATATATATATAATCAAACAAAGTTAAGCTTTAAGCGGAAACCCCTTCGCCAATGCCAATTTATATATAATACTAAGTACTCTAGACTTGTTGGCTTCATAAATATTTAAGATTTTATTTTAAACAAAAAAATGTTCGTACAAATACGATCACGCATTAGACATGCAGTTAAAAGCAGAATATTGTGCAGAGTAGTCTGCACATATGTACTTATATATTTGTTGTTTTTGGCTATAAATCAGATCTTAACTTTATACATATATTGGATGAGAGCGGAACTCAGCCACGTTAAACCGATTCGCGTACATCAAAAAGCCTTTAAGCATTTATCATTGAGTTGTCTAGATTTAAAAATACACTCGAAATGTGTTTTGGTTTGGGTTTTGTTACCCGCTCGACATTTAGACAATCTTAGGTTTATTTAGGTTTCAAGTATATACATATATAGCTATATATATAATGCATCCTGACTGACGACATTTGATTAAATTGGGCTTGGATCCAGATGCACTTGGGACACGTATTCAAGCACATATATGTTATTATTTGATTCTGATTCTATTTGTAGTACATATATTTATATTTTCTGTTTTCGATTTAGGTTTGTGTTTTATCTTAAGGTAGGTGTATTCGTTTCTAGCTTTGCTTCCTGCAACATCACATGATTTCTATTTGCGTTTCTTGTCATTGTATTTTTTTGTTCTTTTTTGTAACATTTTTAAGGTTCTCAATATCGTAAATTTACTGGTTTCGTAACGTTTTGGGCAAGGATAACTGGTAACTTGGTAACTTGGTAACTTATGTACGAATGTGTAGCACCAAAAACAGCTGACAATAAAATAATCTACACTTAATTGCTAAAAAGATCGTTTAAAAGTCGTACACAAAATTGTGTCTAATAATTCTTAAGACCAACAAATAGTTTTTTTCTGCATTCAGTTTTTCGAAAATAGTTATCCAACACAAAAAGATCTCTCCCATCTTTTTTCATTTTAAGCATATAGCTTTTTCTTCTTTTGTGGCAGTTCATTTTGCATTACTGAAATACATTTTGGGACTGTTGTTCGGTTCGTTTTGTGGGATCACAACCAATGTGATGCACACTTCCAGCTTTATATCACCAAAAATCTTTGACCAACTCCTCCATCAAATACTCAGCCGTGATAATAGGTATGCAATTATAACATATATCAATCGAGGGTTTTGGGGATAGTTTGGGATAGTTAAAAACAATACTTCATTTAGCATGCGTTGCAGAGTTCAAAGTCTAGACCAAGATCAAAACCTATACGAACCCAGCCTAGAAGTGAGCTCTTAAAATTTAAATACAAATAAGTAAGTAGTGTTGTTAAGACTTTATCACTTTGCTTTCTCTCTCTCTCTCCTCTCCACCCCTTTCTCTCTCTGCCCCTTGCTCAATTCATAAAACTTTAACTTTCTTTCATCAGCATCTCCCCGTCTCTCTCTCTCTCTCTCACTCCCTCTCGCTGGCTTTAAAAATATGAAATATATATCTTTTTAGTCTCTCTCCACGCCACTTGTCCTGCAGAGTCACACACCTTGGTCAGTTTTGGATAGCCTTATGAGCTTACAATGAGAAGTATTTCAAGAACTGTGCCGGCGGAACGGGCTGGGCCAGCGCCAACTGGCCGCCCGCCTCCTCGACACGCTGCTTGTAGTCGGGACTCTGATCGATAATGCACGGATGACCATCGGAGGGCCAGAAGAGGCAACAGCAGGAGCGGCACAGTGCCAGCACCTCGGCGAACTGGTAGTCATCGTTGACCCCGTAGGTGCGTCGCAGCTGATGATAGATCTGTTTCCAGTCTTTGGTCTCCCCCATCTGCTTGATCTTGTCCAAATCGAGTATGGTATTGATCTGGCGCTGATTGAAATGGAAGCGTGTCAGCTCACGCCAGATGCGCTGCTCCGAGACCAGCCTGGCCATGGTCTCCCAGGCCTCGGCGGCCGATTCGAGATCACGATGATCGGCAATGCACAATATTATCTCGCGGACGCACTCCTCGGGCAGCTCGTGCAGCTTGGGCCGTGCCAGCGGATCCGGCTCCCGAATCTCAATCTGGCTGGCCACGCGCTGAATGCGCTCAATCCGGGCCATATGCTCCTGCCACAGATAGGTGCTGCCCAGCGGCTTGCCCCAGCACTTCTGGTTCTCCTGGTTCACGATGTGCTCCAGCTTCAGCGCCAAGCCACGCAGCACATTCGGATGCTGCTGACTGTCGTTGACTGCAAATGAAAATGTGCGAGGATTAGTAAGTTCCGGATTGGCGGAATTGTGACCCAGCCCACTCACCGTGTGAGGCCACCTCCTCGACCATTTGGAGCAGCTGACGCTGAGCACTGCCCGGCAGGCTGGCTATGCCCTTGTTGGACACAAGCAGCAGGAACGCACAAATGTAATGGAAGCGCTTGCGATCCCGCACCGAGCGACGGAAATCGAGTCGCTTCACCGCCTCGCTCAGTCCATTGAAGCCGGCGATCTCACGGGTGCAGCGTATCGTGATGTGATAATGCGGTGGCATGCAACCGGCTTCCGGCTCCTCCCCCTCGCTGCTGCTAGCTCCCTCCGAGCAGCTACCCTCCGAGCTGTGCCTGCAATCATATCAAAGAAAAGCACGCAGTCAAAGCCACCATTCGGAAGTGTTTGCAATTCAACTGGTCCAACAGTCGACCCCTTCCTCCATCTGTACCACCGGTTGGCCAACTTGTTGGCAAATATTTGTGTTTCTCTCATTTATTTGTAACTTGGATTTGGAGTTTGTCGTGTTTCTTTTTTTTTTATATTTGTTTTAAACGTTTGTAAACTGCTTTTTAAAAGGCGGAAGTTGCCAAGCTCTTGCAGCCGCGGCTGTTGCATCGTGTCTGGGGACCCGGTTATTAAATTAAGCGATTCGCTTGCTGGAAAGCGGTTCATTTGCCAGTTTTTCGTTGCTTGAACAAAGTCAATAATCTTGGCGAGTATTAACCAAGAAAGTCGTTTCCGATAGGTCAGCAATTAATTTAACAAGAATAGAACAGAAATGTGAACGGGTAATTATTTGTTATTAGGCCCAGATCTCGACATGATTAGGACATTTTAATAGCCATGTGAATTCAGGGGACATGCATTTCGCATTTCGATAGATCGATATGCCTTGACGCTGCCAACGAGGACATGTCCTTGGGCGACTGCATTCCAATTACCAAACTGGGTCATTCTCTGTGCTAGCGTGTGTCTGTGTGTGTGTGTGTGTGTGTGTGTGTGTGCGAAAAGCAGCCTCTGTATCTCTCATCTGCAATTTGCCCAATCGCAGCCCACAATAATTGACCACTAATTGCAGTTCCATGTAGCTACATATACATTTCCCCTTGCAAATTTAAAGTCGTTGGAAAATTTCTCCAAATCTCTATATACAAAACTTATTTTCCTGACTGACTGATTGATTGACTGACCGACTGACTGACCGATTGACTGACTGATAGGTGATTAACGCACAGCCCATAGCTTAGTTACGTGAAGACGGGGTTTCGGGAAATTCCACCCGTAAGAGTGGAAAAAGCGCGAGAAACTTTCGTATGAAACTTATTTGTTTACCGTCCGATCGGCCTCAAACTCATTTTAAAAGCCTTTTCCACT